TGGAAGCAGTTGATAGAGTTCTTCCTCTCTATAAAAGGAAGTGGCGCCCTGAACCTTCCCACGTCACGGACTCACGCCCTAGCGGGTTGAAGATTGATATATCTTGTGTTTTTTTATGTACACGAGCGTTATCGTGTTACATAGTATAACTCAAAATAAATATGTTGGGTAGCAATATGACAGCTGTCACGTTGTGTCAAAGCGAAAAACTGATGAAATACTTTTAAAATTGAGGAGCGGTACAACTATAAACAAATATGTTGGAACGCAAAATGACAGCTGTTACTATGTGTCAAAGCAAAGGACTGATGAAATACTTGTAGCAATTGAGTAACTGTGTAAATATAAACAAATATGTTAAGAAGTAATATGACAGCTGTCACCTTGTGTCAAAACGAAGAACTAGTGAGATTCTCTTAGTAATTGAGTCGCAGTACAACTACAAACATATATGTTGCATCACAAAATGACAACTGTCACCTTGTGTAAAAGCGAAGGACTACTGAAATACTTTAAGCAATTTAGAAGCAGTAAAACTATAAACAATTATATTGGGACGCGAAATGACAGCTGTCACTTTTTATCAAAGCGAAGCACTCATTAAATACTTGTAGCAATGTCACAAATGACAACTGTCATCTTGTGTCAAAGCAAAGGACTGAAATACTTGTAGCAATTGAGGAGCTGTACAAACACTGTTTTAGAGACTTGTATAATTTAACTATTATATGGTTTTTCATAATTGCTACATAATGCTACATCAAAATTAAAGCTGTAACATAAACGTTTCGTCCTGCGAGTATTAAAAAAAAAAAGATAATGATTTTATAAAATAAATATGAGTGGAGCAAGGTTTGTAAATATTGCTGGAAGGGTTCGGTGTTATCTGCGCTGGTAATTCTCTAGTCGGATCAGGTAAAACTCTCGGTAAAGAGATATAAATTCCATTCCTGTTTCGACCAAAACCAACCCGCAATTTTATACATATACATACGTACGTACATACATACAACACTCTTGCTACTCAGTTAAATCTCCTCGTGCAACAAGCAAATAAAAATACTGGCTATTGAATTTATGTAAATGCGGCCTTTTATTTATTGCACGAAGAACAATTTGTCCTCGTGCCAGATAATTTCGTTTCCTTTCTATTTTATTTTTGTACGCGATATTTCATAAATTTCATTTTAAATAACTCTATCAGACCTATTTTTGCGTGATCTGCTGAGATTAAAGGCCACCAGGGTGCGCCATGAAAGGAGCATTAGGATGATAGCTTTTTTATTTGAGCCGCCTCCCTCGCCCCAACCGTGCGTTTCTACCACGTTTTCTATGTGTGGGAAATAAAAAAAAGAAGAAGAGAATGGAAGAAAACGCGACATTCGTTTTTCCACCCACTCTATCGCAATACGAATCTCGTTCGCATTTCAAAAACGTTTACAGTATTCATCAAGATTGTAATGTTCGCTTCTGATAATCTGCTTTAAATCAGTTTTTTTCTAACACTTCCCTATTTAGATTTATGGATATGTAGAAAAGAGTTTATAAATATTAATAGGTTGCATCTACACTATTTTTGATATGACACATTTATCATTTAACTGTCTACAATGACACCAGTATACAACTCATGTTTCTTCTTACTAATAAGTATACAATATAGTCAGTATATAATCGCAGCTGTCAAATTAATTTAACAGACATCAATGACAAATGACAGTTCGTGGACAAAAATTTGTTTGTCTTTTATTCCCTGAAAAAACTATGTGATTGAAGCTGTCAAATTAATTTAATTGTCATCAATGACAACAGACAGTTTGTTAGACAAACATTTGTTTCTCTTATATTTCTAAAACAAAACTATGTTTTGTTATTGTTATAATTATATAATATATTCACAATGTGATCACAACTGTCAAACTAATACAACTGCCATAAAGGTAAAATAATAGTTGTTTATCTAAAATGTATTCATTTTATAGCGTATATTGCGAATGCATCTTTATCTACATGAAATCATGTCAAATCATAGTTGTCAAATTAATTGAACTGTCATAAATGACAAGTGACAGTTGGTAGACAAGTTCTAGATGAAACTATGTTTTATATATATTGTTCTCAATTATACAATATATTCAGAATTTATATTAACAATAATTATGGTTGAAATGCGAAGTTCGGGGTATTCGCCGTATTCCCAAACCCTAAAATACCTTCGGGGTGTTTAAAGCACTGGAGGTGCATCTATTATTCATGCAGCTTGTCGCATTCACGAACCTAATTTTCATCAATTTACCTTGATTATGTACGTCTTGATGGAAATGTATGATCCTACTTTTAGTACCAAAAATTTACTAAACACAAAGCACTGGTACAATTTCTATAATATTGAAAACAAATATACAAATTCAAGTAATGCAATTTTTGAAGCTAACTTCATTAAAAATGATTATTTCTAATACCTTAATGAAAATCAAGAATATTACTTTAGTTAATCGTGATTGATTTAAATGATTTAACAATACGATTGTTGAGGACGTTGTATGATTGATAATGATATTGAATGATTTATAACAATATCAATTAAATTAGTAAAGACATTGCATGGTTGCTAAGGACACTGTATAATTGCTAATAATATCAATTCAGTTACTAAAGATATTACATGGTTGCTAAGGACACTTTAAGGTTGCTAAGAATATGAATGCAATTACTAAAGACATTGCATGGTTGTCAAGGACACTGTATGATTGCTAATAATATCAATTCAGTTACTAAAGACATTACATGGTTGCTAAGGACACTTTATGGTTGCTAAGAATATGAATTCAATTATAAAAGACATTGAATGGTTGTTAAGGACACTGTATAATTGTTAATTATATCAATTCAGTTACTAAATATATTACATGGTTGCTAAGGACACTTAATGGTTGCTAATAATATCAATTCAGTTACTAAAGACATTACATGGTTGCTAAGGACACATTATCGTTGCTAAGAATATGAATTCAATTATAAAAAACATTGCATGGTTGCTAAGGAAACTGTATTAAATGCAAATAATATCAATTCAGTTACAAAAGACATTACATAGTTACTAAAGACATTTTATGGTAGCTAATAATATCAATTCAGTTACTAAAAACATTACATGGTTGCTAAGCACACTCTATGGTTGCTATGAATATGAAATCAATTACTAAAGACATTGCATGGTTGCTAAGGATACTGTATGATTGCTAATAATATTAATTCAGTTACTAAAGACATTACATGGTTGCTAAAGACACTTTATGATTGCTAATAATATCAATTCAGTAACGAAAGATATTACATGGTTGCTAAGGACACTTTATGATTACTAATAATATCAATTCAGTTACTAAATACATTACATGGTTGCTAAGGACACTTTATGGTTGCTAAGAACACTGTATGATTGATAAGAATATCAAATCAGTTATTAGTCATTGCATGGTTGCTAAATACACTTTATGGTTGCTTAGAATATGAATTCAATTACAAAAGACATTGCATGGTTGCTAAGGAAACTGTATTAATTGCTAATAATATCAATTCAGTTACTAAAGACATTACATGGTTACTAAGGACACTTTATGGTTGCTAATAATATCAATTCAGTTACTAAAAACATTACATGGTTGCTAAGTACACTTTATGGTTGCTATGAATATGAATTCAATTACTAAAGACATTGTATGGTAGCTAAGAACACTATATAATTTAAAAAAAATTGGTTACTTGTTCCGAATATCAACTATTGCCTGTATTTTAGAATATCAAAGAAGTAATGTAAGTTCTCTGTGGATTGTACAATTATTGCTATATGTCTATAGTTGTGATGGTATGTCTATATTAATACTACATCTCATGATTGACGCCCAATTGTGTGGGGAAACATCTCTAATAAGTACAAATACTATCACTTGATACAGTACGAATCGATAATCGAAAATTTAATAAGGAGTTGTGCACACTGCATCTATGTTTACACTGTAGATTAATTCATTACATCGATTGTTGATGGAATTGAATTAACTGCGTTGCGAGCAGCGCTGAAAGCGTTTTCATAAATGAATATAAATTCAATGAAGCATTGCGACTCGTTTGTATATTGGATTCGCAACGGTGAATTCCATCCGTACCTTCAATCCAACCCTCAACCCTCATTTTTTTTCACCTCCCTCCTCCTCCTCCTCTACCCGTTGTTGTCTCGTATGTCACTTTGTCAACTCGCGAACGTATACCATTTACCGGGTAATTTCCGCCGCTACTACTATACTATATATCTCTATATATATATATTTTTTTTCACTCCACCTCCGCGCAGCATTTCAAAATTATTTCCCTCTGCCGTTTCGCAATTTATTTATTTATTATGCATCCTTCTGTTTGCTCGCTTCATCATGTTTTCCATGCTACAACCGGCTTCAGCGGAATATTTGCCTCTGCATTCATTATGCCGTATTATTTTTGTTCGACGGTGGAAAATTGAAATGCATTAAGAAAATTTTTGTTATTCAGTTGCATCGTTTAGAGAGTTAACATCATGAATAAAGTAGAGCTGATGGTTGGTTGGCTTTGCCTTCTCGTTGCGTTTCAGTTTTTTGTTTTTCGATTTCTGCTTGTGTATGGAATGAATAATTTGAATAATCCGGGATTAAGCATTAACGAAGGTAACGTGTCCTCGAGGTATTTTGAATAGAGCGGAGAAGGATGATGTCCCTTCAGTTTGTTGACGCGTCGGAAGGGTGGAAACGGAGGAGGCTGTGATAGACACGAAAATAATTATTAATAAAGTTCGTGTAGTGTCTGGAAGGTCTGCAATAATTCGGGTGTTCGGTTGATGATGGTGTGACGGTTCGTCTGGGCTCGTGGGCGTTCGAGAGACAGCTGAAAGCTGCAGAGCTTTGGTTTTCGGAGCGCCACCGCCGCCGCCTCCTCCGCTGCCGCCGCCACCGCCGCAGCCGCCGTTCCGACCGCCGCCAGACGCCAGTCCGATTCCTGACGCGTCGCGCTTCGCTCCGCGCTCCAAACGAACAAGAATAATAAAATTTAAAAAAAAATAAACCAAAACAAAGTGAGAGACAGAAGTGCGTGGTGGTTATTATTTTGTGTGCAAACTTATAGGAAAATGTGCAGACCTTTGAGGGTATTGTGAATTGTTGTTGGTGCAAATGGGTGCCATCAGGAGGAGTCTTGTCCTGTTCTTCGCGACGCTCGCGTTAGCATCAGCGAGTCCTTCGCCGATCAAGCGAAGTAAGAAGGAAACCCACATCATCTTTCATTCAACATCAATCCATAACCAGATCAGGAATCTCAAATAAATCCCATACATTTCTACACATGCACATGAAATGATCTCGATATTAGATCTTGACTTTCTATTACTTCCTTCAATCAATTGATCCTAAAACTAAACCTAATTCCTAATCATTTCAGAACTTGTTTACACTACCTAAAACTTCTTTTACATTAACATTATTATTCCTAATACTTCCTAAACATAATAACATTAATAAGTCTACTTGTATGAAGTGTAACGTCTACAATAACAAAATAATATGTTTCATTCAATGACACGACACACCAATTCTTAATCTTCAAACAAACATAATTGCATCAATCATTCAATTTCCATCAACTAAATCTTCTTTTACAATATCATCTCATATTATCTTTAGTCAAAAACATTACTCGAAATCATTAATAATCAAACACAATCAGACAAATTTCTAATAACGACAATTCTTAATAACTCTTTATTTTAGAACAAAATTATATCAATCATTCAATTTCTATCAATTACAACTTCTTTTACTATACAATTCATACGTTAACCAAAAAAATGCTCTAATTCTTAATCAATGAATTTAATTTTACAATAAAAATTCATAATATCTTTCATATTGCTTCAATTCCTAATAATTAAACTTAATTGTTTCAAGCATACCAATTCCACCAACTATGACTTCTTTTATATTATAAGATTTTGCGACAATTCCTAATGAATCTTAGTAGTTTCATCAATATTTTTCAATGTACTTAATTTTATCAATCAATATATTTTCATTAACTAAAACTTATTTTACATTCTACACACCAAAAATGTCTACAATTACAAATATTACTTAATCATATTTGTATTAATCATAAACATCTTCTATGTTTGCTCCAATTCCTGAAATTTAACAATCATCACACTAAATTACATGAATCCTTTTAGTTTCGTCAATTAAAACAACTTTTTCTTTCATTTATATTTCTATCGTTTAATCACTAAAATGTTGCTTCCATTTCCTAATATTCAAACATAAATTCATCAATCACTCAAATTTCATTAAATATATGTTTTTTTTTACGTTAATATAAGTTTCTTACACATTGATTCATGATATGTTTTAATCATTAATCATAAATCATTCCTCTCACCAAATAATTCTTTTATATCAACATATTTTTTACTGTTTCATCAATATGTTTTTCATCCACCTAAACATTTCCTAAATCTTTTCACTTTTATCCTTTCTTTTGAACTCACCAAATTTCTTATAATTCCTAATGATCAAACATAATTTTCATCGTTTTCATCTACTGTCATCAATTATCAACTAAAACTACATTTTGTACAATTAATAATATTTCTTAATCATATTTGCATCAATCATTCTACTATCATGAATGAAAACATCTTCTACTCTAACTCATGTTTCATTCATGAAAACGTTTTATTCACCCAAACATTGCTCAAATTCCCTAATCATCAAACATAAGTGCATCAATCATTCTATTTTTTTTCATTAACTTATACTTCTTTCACTCATTCATTAGAATGTTTACTCCAATTACAATGATTTCCTAATCATCAGACAAAATGCATCAATCACTCAAATTTCATTAAATATATTTTATGATCCATGTTATTTCTTAATCATAAATCATTACTCTCATTATCATTCATATCTTTCTTTGCTCTAATTCCTAATCATCAATACACAAATACATCAATCTTTTCACGTTTAATTTACTTTTTTTTATTATGTTTCATTCAACTCATGAAACTTTATCCAAATTCCTTATATTTCCTAATAATCAAACATAATTTCCATCACTCTCTATACACAATTTCAACTATAAACTGAAACTTTCTATAAGGTAAACAGTTTCGCCAAATAATACGTTTTCGTTGTATAACAATATGGCAAATGGATTTTGCCTTTGGCTTCATAAACGCGTACAATTGTATAATTGATTTAACGTTCACAAAGAAATCAGTGGGGGATTTTCTGAAAATTTAATATATTTTCATAACTAAAATTATTAACCCAATAGTAATATAAATACAATAAACCGCAGTTATTCCATTCGACAATCAATTAACGCACTCAAATAACCGTTGTTATTATATAGTTTCGATCCAAAATAATATTAACAACGTTTAATCCGCACAATTCATTTATATTACTATAAAAATCTAAAGTTTAAACACTAATAGTTTTTTAAATAAATAAAAGTTAAAAATTTCTATTTTTTTGTAATGTAAAATTACTAAAATTCTCCACACAATTAGAAATTAAGTAAATTTTGTATTTCAAAATCTATATCCATATGTTACTTAAATAATTATACAAAATTTCAACAAAAAATGTGGAGTTAATAACATTTTTCTTAATTAATTTTTGGGTTTATTATCATAGAAATTGTTATAATTATCAACGTAATTTGATTTAAATTTGTATTTCTAATATAATAAAAATTTAAACAAAAAAAAAATTACAAATATTTTATTGATTATAGAAATTAATTAAAACGTTTGCAATTAATTTTCCATTTACTTCATAAAGTATTTTATTATCTTAATACTTATATATTTGTGTGACTCTATGCAATCATAATAAAAGAATTGGAAAACTATTTCCATGTATATAATGATAAAATCAATTGGGCAATTCACAAATTCCATCGTTTTTATGAGAATCAATAAGAATATATTTAGATTATGCTAAACTGCAATAGAAACTAAACTGTTTATTGAAACTAAAACAAGATTACAAATAAAATTTCCGTTAAAAATTGTTATTTTTTTTTCTCTTTCTGATGTTTATAACAATTTAACATAATGTTAATATCAATATTTAATAATCTTTGAGTACATTACTTTATCTTTTTCTATTTGTAGATCATTAACTATTTATTTACTCTACTTCTATAACGTAATCTAAACGTAATATTAAAGCCCTAAGCGAGGACAAAAACAAACGTTAAAGTCCGATTAAATGATGAAACTTTCTAAATATCCGCAGATATAATTCCGGATATTCTACTCGAGGGTTTCCCAACCTTTTTGTCCATTTGATATATTGTATCATGAAATCTGTGTATTTGGAGGTAAAAGGTATTTATACTATTGATAACATCAATTGTAACAGATACGTATAGTGTACAATGATGTACATTTAGACCCTTCGAGAAGTGCTAATGTACTTCTGGGAATACATGTACTTTAGATTAGAAACTCTTGTTTCAGTCACTCAATGTTAATAGAAATACGTATTACACATAAACATTAATAGATCAAAAATTTATCTATAAATTTATTTTCATCATTTTGAAGCGTATTTTAGTAGCGTCTCTATAGAAGTAACATCTAATCTTATACGGCTCCGTCTGAAAAAAACTAGATTACTGAGATAGGGCGGATATATCCGCCGCTTATCCGAATAACAGTTAGTAATTTGTATTAATTATATAAATCATGTAATTTCGTACTGAAAAACATCTATCAATTGATTAAATAATATTTAGTTCTTATCAAATTCAATTAATCAATTAAATTATCACTTGAATTAATCTAATTCATAACGAATACTAGAAATTGATTGATTAAAGTTTACTTTCATTCAAAGTATGTCTGTTTTACTCCTTTTTCCTCCTTTTTCTCAAAAAAAAATAACGTAATTGTCGATCTGTGACTGTAATTGTGTTTTTTTATATATATATATATAAGAAGATATTTTGTTGTTGATATACTGTGAGACTGTGTTACGTGCAACAGGAATTTAAATAAAATTATTTCGAGCCTCATTAAGTTTGGGGAGTGTAAAAGGAATGCCGTGAAAAGCATAGGAGAGATGAGATGAGGAGTAGGCGGCATTAAAGGAAGTTTTAGTTCATTAAATTTCCGACGTGATATTACATGACTTATCTGCTTGCCTCTGTCGTACGTGTGAGTGCGGAACGGCGAACTTCGTTTGCAGTTTTCATTCGAAATTCAAATTTAATTAAAACTTTACCACATATATACAAAAAATAAAACTATATACATTCATATTAATATAAATATTTAGAAAACAATAATACATTTTCATTTCGAGACATTAATTTGATTATTTTTTTTAATTAATTTTATCAAAAGTTTGATCAAAGTTATCAAAAATCAATTTAAACAAACAAAATTTGTTAATAACTTAATAACAATTTTTTTTAAATAATACATTATTAAATATTTGCAAATCTATTTAAAAACCTCCAATTTTGGTTCTAAAAAAATAATTTTTCTCTTAACTCTGTATGTTTTTGAAACAAAAAAAAACGCAAATTTCAACAATTATAAGAGAATTTTTCATGTAAAATTGTTCAAATATTTCGATTAGTTATAATAATTTAAATTCCTTAAAAGTCCACTGATAAAAAGGAATTTTTTAGAACTTTTGAAATATTTAGAAAACAATAAAAAACTCAAATATTTGTGCTAAAATTCATGTCAAATATATTTGAAAACCTCCAATTTTGGTTCTAAATTATCTAATTTATCAATATTCTAGTAACGAAATAAATTTACTAATATTTTTCTTAATACTAAAGAAAAATGTCCTCAAAATTTTTATTTTATTCATGTATTCTTTTTGAATAAAAAAAAAACAGCAAATTTCATTAATAAAAAGAGAATTTTTCAATTTACTCTTGTAAAATTGTTTAAAATTTTCTAATAACAATATAAATTTCTTGAAAATCCACTGATATAAAGGAATTTTTATTACTTTTGTAATATCTTAAAAAATCACTAATTTAGACTCTTAAAAGTCAATTTAGAAATATTTTCTCTATATAAAGAAAATTGATAATTTGTATTTTTAATGTTACATAAAAAATACTTAAAAGTCAAATTATTCTATGTTATTCATAAATCATTATTCAATATTTATAAAAATTTAACAATTTATTCTTAATCAAGTAAAATTGATAGAAATTTTCGAATA